GTAAATTACTAAATGCAATACATTACAATTTAGCGTAAATAATGAGTAAAATTTCAAATTAGCATTTATTACTGTACAGTTATTTCTTTGGCGGTTTTCACCCTTCTGAAAGTGGATATATGAACTAGCATTTATCGCTTACAACAAGCTACGTTTTGCATGTATCCAATAACAATACTACTGACTAAAAATGTGGAAGAGCTTTCAACACATTTATATTATGTGATGCAGCGCTACAAATTTTACTTTAAATTAACATCCTAACATCTACTCAGGTTCGATTATTTGACTTAGTCTGCATCATGATAGTGGCTAGTACTTAAAATTAGTTAATGAGACACACACAACACACACTAATGACATTACTCGCTTTAAAATTAAATTAAATTGTTTATTTAATTCAGAGAAAACACATTACGAAATTAATATTAAACATTATTTACAAACAAATTAAAATTCCACTTATCTGAAACGGAAGAGAGGTGATGGAGGCCGGCATGGTGCACGAAGTTATTTTATCTGCTCCGAATCAATTCAACATTATTGATATCTTAATCTGCCGAGAAATGTCTCGGCTCCTGCTTTTTAAGTGAGGGCAAATTACCCCTTTTTGCATCCGCGAGCCTTTGGTCTCGTCTAGTCATTGGTCAGGAACCAAGTGCAAAGTTACAAAACTCGCGACTCTCTAAATTTATGAGTCCATTCAACTTTCATGACCGTTGACATCCCGCGCTGTCACCCCGTTTAGGAATCCGACCCCATCCTGTCAACTATAAACAAGGGAATACACAAATTACATGTGTCTTGGGAGCCATCTTCAAACCCGATCAGCATCTAAGCTTTCCAGCCTCCAAGCCACCCATCATATGCTTAAAAACTGAATATAATATTTTTAAAACTGTGTAAGGGAGGGGTGTCAATCTCGCGGCCCGCGGGTCGCATGTAGCAAATAGTGAGCCTTCTTACGGCCCGGTCAATATATTGGCACACAGTAATATATAATGAAATATCAAAATTTCTCCAGAAGTAGGAAAGATGATAGCAGAGAAGATATGTCAAGTGTCAGGATGTACATATTAAATGTTTCTTGTTCTTTATATTTGCTTATTATATTGTATTATTCGAAATAAACCTACGTTTCTATGAATTTTGATTTTCTTTGCAGCCCACCTTAAGCTAAACCTTGTTTATTTAGTCCAAGTAAGCCTTTGAGTTTGACACCTTTACCTTTGTTTACTTTACGCCGTAAAGTAAACATAGGTATCCATTCTACGTATGTCTGAGTAATTGCTTCTTGGGAATGGGAAAAACTCAAATTTTTATATTTTCAAGGTTATTTGTATAAATAATGATAGCACTTTCAATTTGAATTATTCCACTGGTGTATAACTTAGTTTCAATAATTAAAAAGGATTTCACACCAACTTAATTTTTATTTCGTGAAAAAATGGGGCTCATTTACAAACAAAATTTAATATTATTTAATTTTGAGCTCAGTATTTTTCAAGTAAGAAATTGGATTATTTTAAGTGATATAAAGTCTCTTCCTCTTCAAATAAGAGATATAATCCCAATCAATATGAATTACTTACATGAGTCAGAACCCAAACGCGATAAATGAAAACTAAATTGAAATAAAAAATTAAAAGCAAACAATGACTCAAATTTTCTTTTGAATATTTCAAAAACAATATCGTAAATATTCAGGTTCAATTCTGGCAGGTGTACAGCGCATGCACCGCACGGGAGCGACCACGGGCCGCATATATTTCTGTCATCAAGCAAAAGTTTTTTTACAAATTTCTCAAAATAAAACTTATAATAAGTCGGAAAAAAATGTGCTGAATTTTAAACAGTTATTGACAAACCAAAATAAGTCCCGATTTCCGGATAACATAGGATAGTTTAAGAGAAATAGTATGTTAGTGTAGAGTGTGTTGTTCCGTAGTCCATAACTCTTTATTCACATCCTTCATTCGGTAGCAAAATTCTTGGAAGAGCTGGAAATACAGCAAGAAAAGGTTCTTTTTTCTTATCAGTGGTATTGGCGACGCATATTGTTGATCGATGCTTAACAAAGGGGTCTGGAAAATGATTTTTGCTAAAATTGCTTTTCGAAAATTTCTAATATGGTTAATATTACCTAAAACATGGGAGTGTTTAAATTCAATATACTTTGGGGAAATTAAAAGCTTTCAATTTAATAATCTTACAATTTAGAAAAACAAAATAGAGGAAAGAAGTGATTTTTGTATCTATTTGGATTTTTATTAATGTTTTGCATTTTACTCTTATACAGCTGGATGAGTTTATAGCATAAACTTTAAGTATTAGTCAAAATCTGTAAAATTCTCTAGAGGGAAGGCACATTAGAACTTGGCACGCGGGTGGCCGAGACGCTAGGGGGTCCTGTAAATATTTATAAGAAATTAATCACTTTCTGATTCGCAAAATATAAAAACACTACTAATGTGAATTCTTAGTAACATATTAAAGTAACGTTAAGAAAATGACTGAAATGTTGTCTACAATTTTCTAATGATAATACAAGATTTTCGAATTATTGACGATGAATTATTATTCAGTTCTAATGACTTCTTCAGAAATGGATTTAATAATTTTTTTTTAATTAAAGATGTTTGATTTCATAACGATATGCTTCAAAAAAAATTCTAACAGCTTGGGCGAACCAAAAGATTTATTTTCATTTTTCACGTTCACCATGTTCTACATCTACCGAATTCTTCGAACTGTTTCAAAATCTTTTTTAAAGTGGCAAACGATAAATTTCACTATAACACAAGGAAGTAAGGTTTAGTCGGTTTTGCTTGAAGCCGATACTGAAGCAAAACGTTCAGAGAGCTTTATCTAGTTTCTATTGAATGGCAAAATGAAATGTCGAGTTGGTTTTAGTTCTATAAGCTGTACATTAAAAGTTTTAATATAGTTCCTGTAATTCTTCAATGAAGGAGTTAATAATTTTCACTTTGGCAATTTTTGGGGTTCTCTTCATTTGATAGTTGCGTCTAATGCCGTTTAATTAAAGAACAAATGAAACTGAAATCGAACGCATTATTTTCGTATTATTTCGATTTAGAAAAGAAAATGTCTTAGAAATTAAGGACATACTTAATTACGGATTTAATTCTTTTGACACCTTATTTTACAATTTACATACAAATCATTTAGGGAAATGAAAACCAGTTATTTGAAAGAAAAAAGAATCAATAAAGCAAAATAATATTCTACTGAAGGAAAAATCTTAAATAAGAGTCAATTTCAGTTATTTGAATATTTTTTAGCATAGAAAGGAGTGATAATATCCGCACAAAAGCGTCATGAAATATCATGTTTTGAACTGAAAAGAAGAATTTATAAAACTTAAGATTACGCCTTAAATTGTATAAGTTAAATATTCTAGGATTCACACTAAAAAGACTTATTTTATAGCTTTTCTTTCAAAAGTGTTACAGAGATTTTATCAGTCCATCTCATTAATCAATCTTAAATCTGTCAATAATTTTTAAATTTGTCAATCTGTAGTGTTCAATTCCTATTATTAGTTCACTCTCTCTGTTTATATACATACACACACACACACTTACTTACTTACATATATATATATTATGTTTATCATAAGAGAATTATGTTTATCATAATGGTAATTATTTATCAACAGATTAAGGGTCTACCACTAGGTGGCCCAGCTAGCAACTGTCTTGCCAATTTATATTTACATTATTTTGAAAATAGTTTCACAGACACAACTTAGAATATTACTTTTTTCGTTATATAGATGATATAATCATTTTTGGCAAGCAAGACAACTTTAAACCTAATATTAATTTTTATCCACAATATCTTAATACAGACAAATAGCAACAATTATGAAGCAAATTTTCTTGATATAGAAATTAAATTAAAAGATAATAAAATAGTTAATAATATTTATGATAAACGAGAAGACTTTAATTTCAATATAATAAAAGTACCGCATTGGGAGAGTAATGTGCATGTTTCTATATTCAGAAATATTGTTATTAATTACTCACTACGCAATAAATTACTAGTTTCAAATAAATCAGAAAAAATAAAAAACTATAAACATTTTACTAAATACTGTTTAATTCAAAAATACCCAATTAATTTTATTAATAGCTATTTGAATAAAGAAATTCTATATAACAATGATTAAATTTCCATAGTTTTAACAGGTTAATATTATAGATTTCTTATTCTTCCTAGATAGTTTTAAATACCCCCGATTTCTAATTTTAGATAAAATTATTTTTTTAAATTTATTATAACTTTTAAATCATTATCTTAGAGTCTCTAAGATAATGGTAGTATGTTTACAATTCTTATTTTATTATTTCTATTCTTTTCATACTTTTGCTAAGTGCTATTTTTCAGCCATTGCTTTGTTTTGAATTTGTATTTGGGTCCAGAATCTGGCAATAACATGTTTATTGTACTCAGATTTAGCGCGGGCTCTGCATTTCGGTATGCAATTTTTTACGTAAGTTACCTTTTTCTCATAATGGATTTAGATTTCCTATCCATTATTTCGAATGGTTTTTGCTCGGTATTATTAACAGAAAGGGGGAAGGTTGGCTGGCCAAAAACATGTTCAACCCCACTTTTATACAGAGAAATTTTTTTAGAGGAATTTTTTTTGTATACAAGCTGTCCTAAGTCAGCAATGTTGATAATACTGTAGCATCCATTCCTTTATATTCTTATATTTTACTCTGTTGTTTCAATTTTTCATATCTCATTTTAAGTTCTGTTGTCTGGTTATCTTGCAATTGCAATTCTTTTAAGTATTAATCATGTTAATTCATCTCTCTCTTGTAGAGAAATTTTGATTATATATATGACATTTGATGTCAAAATACAGAGTGTTATCAAATATTAATTCATTAATTAAAGTTAATGAATAAGTAGTGAACAAAAATAATAGTCGAAGACCATATATAAAAAAGGAAATCGCTCTTTGTGTCCCTGTAGTACAATGAATACGGCGTTGGAATTTTAATCCAAAGGTCGTGGTTTCGAATCCCACTTGGGATGGACTAATTTCTGAGAATGGGATTTATTTTTGTTATACTACTCTCATTGGAATAATTAAACTTAATAAATGAATGAATAGTTACAAACACAAAAATAACAGTCTAGCCTCTGGCGTTGCTAGTCCTGAGTGTGTCCTGAGTTGCTAGTACCAAATTCGTTGGGCGCATTTTAAAATGATCGGATTAATAAAACTTATTTTGAAGTGAGAAAATATTACTCATGTGGGGGGCCTCTGTAGCTTGGGGGCCCCATATCATTGATACGGTGGTAGTTACGTCCCTGAGTCCAAATCCATATATAGAAAGGAAAATCCTGTTCTATTTTGTCACTTAATTTTATGTTTCTGTCATATGTATATACATACTTATTTTAATTGTAACTATTTCATAAAAAGTAATAAAAATAAAATTTTCTTTGTTGACCTAAGTTCTAATTGAATTAATTTTTCTTATATTACTTGTCTTAGAACTAGTTCACTTTAAATGTCGAGCACTAGCAAAATTTTTAAATACTTTTCAATGTTAGAAATCAGTCTTTCCTTTAGCAAACTAAAAGGTATTACATATTCAAAAAACTTAAGGCATTTTTTCCTAAATTACACTAGTAATATTTAAGGGAAAATAAAATTGTAATTTTAAAGTAAGTCAAAATTTTTATCATTGCGATTTTCCTCTGAATATGACGAATTTTTAGTTGAATGTATTTATTTTTATGAGATATCTGCTACAATTAAAAAGTCGAATGATCAAAATCTGAAGATATCTTTTCATTTTAAACATAAAAATAATGTGGAAAAAGGAAAATAAATTTACTACATCTTTACAAAATCTAATAACAATACTAGCTGCATGTCCCGGCTTTTCATGGTCCTCTTCCTGTGCATAAATTTTCCAATGGAAATCTCCTCTTCCCTTCTCGGTGTCAGCATTCCTGGTGTGTGTATGATTGCTATATTAATGTCATTAAAAGTCCCTATTCATAAATTTTTCTCTTTTTTGTCTCTTTCTATGGGTTCTTTACCCTCCGCTTAGCCAGAATATGAATGGTCCTTTTTACATTACTGAGATAAAATTTTAATTCTTAATTGTTAAGTTTTTAATTTATTCAATTTTATTGTTAAACCTATTGTTAAAATTTTAGTTGTTAATGTGGCACTATATCAAATGCATTCACTTCAAATCAGTTTAAATTATAATACAATACATAATATTGTTTTAAGGAAATCTAAAAGATTTAAAAAAAAGCAGATTTGCTTTCTTTACGAATTTCTGACAGTTGTTTTCCTATTATCATTAACAGTGTGGATGACAAAAAAAAATCATTCATTCAAGATGGGCACAATTTATTAAGGCAAAAATAAATTTTTTTTCGTTTAAAATTCTATTTTGCTATTACAAATTCTACTGTTTCAGACGTTTGGGAAGAAACTGCTGTCTGGACAACTGAATGAACACACTTTGAGAACAAACTAAGGATAATAAAATTAAGAAGTGGTAGATAACTTTTTAAATGTATGTGATTTCTAAATCATATATTTAAAAATTTCCCTAATTTCAAATCCCTAATCCCTAAATTTCGAATTATGTTTGATTTCTAATTTCTTTCTAATACGAAAATTAGTTGACTTATCTTCTAGAATCTGAAATTAATGTTCAAATTGAGGTAATGTGAATTTTCCTCATCTCTAGTTAATTTAAATAATTAAATGAGAGCTTAAAAACGTAGCACTTCATGCAAAATTAGAATAGCGATTTATTTGGCTTATGTAAGTTGGCTTCCTACGATGCAAAGCTAAGATATGCTTAATTTCCATCCACAAATAATAATTTAAAATTAGGCACTAATTTGATATCGGAGCGCTACCCGCCACCTTTTTGTTTATGTTTGCCAAGATGGACGATGAGAGTATAATATGGTTGCCTTGAAATATTTATCTGTGTAGTAATGTGGTTACTACAGGGATGGCATATTGTTTTTTTTAAATTTTTTTATCGTGGTAGCCATTTTTATTTCAGACGATTTTATTGCAATTTCTTTAAAACATTTAACCATTTTTTCATTGCATTTATTCTTTAAAATTATTACCCATTTCTTCTGTTGTATTTTGTGCTATTTTTCAATATATGGATATTTCTAGTATCATTGATGAGTACCAGGATATTTTTTAAGGAATATGAGGGTTGTGTTTTTAATTATTATGGAATAGTACAAAGTATAAGTTCAAAAATAATCCGATTTTTTTTATCAATTTCTTTTAATTCTTTTTACAGTCCTTTTCAAACAGGTTATTGTTACACAACACAGCTTTTTCGGTTACATCATTACATAAACTAATATGATTGTTATAAATTGATGACTCTATTCTATCTAATAAAATAAATTGCTTTATTTTATTTAAAGATAATAAATTACTCTTAATGTTTCATAGATATATTCTGGTTTTTGCATTTACTTATATATTTAATTTCCAAGATGCATCTCTGGCTACTCTTCTGTTTCGGGATGCTGAAAAAAAATACACTAAATACCAGAAAAATGTATTAATAGTGCTACATTAATTTGAGCACAATCCACAAGTTTAAGTACTTATGGAGCACGTGCTAAAAGAATTTCAGAAAAGCCCTTTTTTGTTATATGTTTAATTTGACAAGAAAAAGTTCAACCGTCGCCAGCCGCCCCTTAAAAGAGAAGGGTACCTATCTCTGCCGAAAGTTAATCCAAATTATTGAGTTTCAGTTACAAATAAGAACATTTTTCGCTATCAGAGCGTTTATGAGAATTCCAACATATATCTACTTTAATCATTTAGGACGACATAGGACGAATGATGCATGCATGAACACATTCCAATAGCAAAATTGGTGAAACGAAGCATTTAGAAAACAAGTCACGGATGAGTCTGTTAGAGGTGTCAGAATTTCGATAGAAACGAATTTCTTTTCCCTGTAAAGGACTGGAATACATTGTGTTACAAGTCATAAAATTCGACAGTAGTAATGTTATGTTCGGACGGAGAGTATTATTCTTATTTCAATATCCATGTGTGATTACTTTATAAATTTGTTTAAAATTGAAGTTTGAGTTAAATTCCCAAATTCTCTAACGACATAAATCGCAAATTTTTGATTAATTGCCCAATAAATAATGCTTTTTTTCCCTTTGGTAGTTCATCCCCTATAATTTTGTATAATTCAACTGATGCATTTGAAATTTTCCTTCAAATACAACTCATTCCTTCTTTCACATTTAACTTTCGGCCGTGGGTAGCCTAGTGGTAAGAGCATCGGACTCCAGACCGGAAAGCCTAGGTTCGACGCCCGATGCCACCAAATACCCTCCGAGTACACACGGAGTATATGCTCGTTAAATCAGTGGGTTCAAAAATCTTGTGGGTGGTCGCAGCTGAAGCCACAAGTGCAGGCGGCTGGAGAATATTTCCCTCCCCTCCGGTTCCATGCCTAAATTGAGGAGGTGGAGATAGGTGGTGTCGCCATCTATCGTATTCAAGCTAACTACAGGTGTAAAAGTCTAGCCCTTAGCTGCAATGAATTTCGTGGACCTTGATCTAATTTTACTCTCGATCATGCGGCTTAAGCAACAACAACATTTAACTTAACTCAGTGGCGCAACAGCCCGGGAGGGCCAAAGCCTACTGAGCTCAACTTTGCGCGACCCTGGGCTCTGAGGTGCATGAGCAGATGTTTCGGTCAGGTGGTCAGTCAGACAAGAAACCCCCAGTGTTAAGTTCCCAAGCAAGATTGGTACTCATTGATCGATCCACCGAAGGGATGAAAGGCTTAGTCGACCTATCCCAGCCCGGGGTTTGAACCTCGGATCTGTGGTGTGGAAGAGGGTTACACTAACAACTCAGACACTGGGCTTCATTCTTTCACATTTAGTTCATTCAAATACTTCTCATTCATTCATTCATAGTTCATTTATTTAAATAAATCTCAGCCATTCATTCACATTTAATTCATTCGATCATGCCTTTATTGTTTTCATATTAAATTCATTCAAATATATCTCATTCCTTCATCCATATTTATATTCAATCAAATACATCTCAATCCGTTATTCACATTTAATTCGATCAAAGGTATCGCTTTCGGTCATTAATATTTAATTCCAATTCATTCAATTTATTCATTTATATTCAATTCAATCAAATGCATATCATTCTCTTATTTATATTTAATTTTAAAAAATACATATAATTCTTTCACTCATGTTTAATTCATTCAAATACATTTCATTCCGTCATTAATATTAAATTAATTTAAGTACATCTCATTCCTTCACTCTTCTAAACTTCAGTACATTCAAATATATGTCATTCCTTTATCATATGCCATTCATACAAATACATCTCACTCCTTCATTTATATGCAATTCAAACATTTGTACGTCATTCCGTCAGTAATATTTAATTCATCTCATTCATTCATATTCATTTAATTCAAATGCATGTCATTTATTCATTAATACATAAAAATATTGTGTGTGTGTCCTAATTATTTTTCCGTTCTAACTTATACTATTCATTATTTTATTTAACAATGAAATTCGTCTTTAACTTGAAAGAAGGAATGAAGGGCTTATTATTATTGAGGAGTTATACTTATTATAAGAAAGTTATACTTATACTTATTATAAGAAAGTTATACTTATACTTATTATAAGAAAGTTATACTTATACTTATTATAAGAAAGTTATACTTATACTTATTATAAGAAAGTTATACTTATACTTATTATAAGAAAGTTATACTTATTTTAAGAAAGTTATACTTATACTTATTATAAAAATTTATACTTATTATAAGAAATTATTGAGTTGCTTCTTTTCCACTATCTCATTGAATTAAGAAAACACAATATCAGCACTTCATTAACATTTTGTCAGATTATTTTACACGAAGAGCTCATATCCTTACTACCGTAGTTTTATGTATGACGTCTATCTATTATTCCTTACCAAAAAATGAAAAGTAAAGCCC